AGGACCCAAACATTAGGAGAAGATTGGATTCGGAGACAAACCACCTAGGAACTCCTTTTACACTAAAAGAACTCCACGACGGTCTGAATAGGTTAAAAAAACGGGAAAGCTGCAGGTGTGGATGATATATGCAGTGAACAAATAAAGCATTTAAGCCAAGGAGCAAAAAACTGGATCTTACAATTTTATAACACGTGCTGCAAAACCTGCAAAATTCCAAATCATGGAGGAAATCTAAAGTAATAGCTTTGTTAAAACCAGAAAAGGATCCAAAAAACCCCAGTAGCAACAGGCCTATTTCGCTATTGTGTCACTTTTTTAAACTATACGAGAGACTGACACTCGCCAGAATAGAAAAAATGTCGACAAGCACCTCATCCCACAACAAGGAGGATTCAGACCTGGCAAATCTTGCACTGGTCAAGTCCTCGCATTAACAGAACACATTGAAGAGGGCTTTGAAGAAAAACTTATAACGGGGGCTGCTTTTGTAGATCTGACAGCAGCCTATGACACAGTAAGGCAGTGTTTTAGCACCAATGCTCTTCAATATATAGGTACACAAACGACCAACCTACTCCGACCGAAACCAAGCACTTCCTCTATGCTGAAGATCTTCCAATATGTGCTCAAGGAAATAGTTTTGAAGAAGTGGAGGAGAAACTCGAAACTGCCTTAAAAACAATGACAGCGTACTACCTGCAGAATTCTCTGAGACCCAATCCCTCTAAAACCCAAGTCTGCGCTTTCCACCTTCGCACAAAGGAAGCCAAGCGAAAAATCCAAATTGTGTGGAATGGTAATACATTAGAACACACAAACCAACCTATACATCTTAGAGTAACTCTGGACCGGTCCCTCACTTACAGACAACATTGCATAAAAACAAGAGGGAAAGTAACAACTAGGAACAGCATACTCAGAAAGCTAACGGGAAGTAAATGGGGCGCACGTCCTGGCGTTTTAAGAACAACGGCACAGGCACTTTGTTTCGTAACTGCTGAATATGCGTGCCCCGTTTGGAGCAGATCTGCCCACACCAAACAAGTTGATACTGCGCTAAATGAGACATGCAGGATAGTAACGGGGTGTATGAAACCAACGCCACTTTCAAATCTATATAGAGCAGCGGGTTTTGCAGAACCCTCAGAGGCGCTTTAGAACATAGAGAAAATTAAACAGATCGCGGACGAGCGGCATGGCCTATACAAAGCTCGAACACCACGAAAGCGACTAAAATCTAGAAAAAGCTACCTTGGAACAGTGCAGGATGAATCGCCTGAGTATTTTCCACTTCCTCAGGTTCAATGGACCGGCCTAGACTTTACAACAACGTGGAAACTTTGAATAGGATAAGAACGGGGGTCGCTACAGTAAAATCAAACATGGCAAAATGGGGAAAAATAGACCAAGATGATGTGAACTGTGACTGTGGAGAAACAGAGAATATGGAACATCTTCTTACATGCAGAAACTGTCCTCATCGATGTACCCTTTAAGATTTGTGGCTCGCCAACAAAGATGGCACCGACGTAGCCCGATACTGGGCCGAAATTTTATGAATGACATGTCTGGACCCGATAAAGTAAAGTAATGGCAAACTGTCAATTATCGAAAAATATTACAAAGCCCGAAAGAAAATACCAAAAAACCAAAGAAAAACTACAATTAAGCTATGCCAGCAATAATACATAATAAAAGCCTAATATAATACATAATAGAAGCGGAAAAAGTCAAAGTACAAATTCGTAGAAGCTGAATTCTAAAATCACTAAAGCCTAGAAAAGAAAATATAGTTCCAAACGTAAAAACCAAAACAAGAAAAAACTTCAGGGTTGTACTAAAAAACATACATCATTCGACAGACCCAGATGAAATTAAAAATAACCTCTAAAGATTACGACATGGTGGATTTACAAAGCAATCAAAATAATAAGAAATACGAACAAAATTATTAACGAACTCAAGCGTAATATTTGAATCCCCGTATACAAGAAGAAACATTCCCCAACGCACTCGTTTCCAGCTATACGGCAACACAAAAAATTTCTGTCATTGCAACTTTAGATATGTAAAATGCACATAACCAAACCAAATTAGTCAGTTTCAACTAAACGTAAAAGATAACATGGTACAATATGTAAAATTACTGTTAGAAAAATCATTCAGTAAACTACAGAGGTTGCAAAATTCATACAGAATTACAACAAAAGACATATCCCAAACTAAGAGACAAATCTCCAAAAAAAAACATAAACAGAGAATCACAACAGATAAATCCAGAGTTTACATACGCGCAATCAACATCTCAACAAACACAAGCTTCTAATAATATAAATCAGTCAAATAATTTGGTAGTGCACAGTACTACCAAACCAAACTCTGAGTTGAAAGTTATTATCAGAGATCTTGACAGATTGTTAAAATAAATGGGGGTAAATGGCAGTTTGGATAGATATTACTCTGGATGATACAATAGGAGGCCTATATTCAAAAAGGGATGGAATAACGCGCAATAGAAGAAATCATATAATATATGACAATGACATATGAATACACTTTGTTGTCATAGAGAAATTTAAACCAAAAATCTGTGTCAAGTTGTAAATGTTGAAATAAATACATCACTTCTTTACTTTACAAAACATAACGTCGTCGACACAAGAAAACCGGTTAACTCAAATCTTTACTTAAAATGAGATTTTACTGCCATCTATTAGCAAATCGCCTATTCTAGCCATCCGACAAATAATACGTCATTTAAATGTAGATTTCTAATTTTAAAATGTTTACTAGAAAAGCAGGTATCTCCCTGGTCAAAAAATTGTTTGTAAAACACATAACTCCGCGCATTTTCTGTTAAGTCAGTTACGTGATTATTGCCGTTGATTTGATTTGTTGTTTTGGAGGGATTTGTTGTTTTGGAACCTGCTTTTAATAAGTTCTGGACATGTACATGGGCAGAAAAGAGAATTTATATCAAAACGTTGGTAGTATTTGAAGCACCAAAACGGAAGAGGGATAGAAAAAATGAAGATGTATAACGGAGGTCTAAGACATTAAAATATTATTTGAAAATTGGAGAAGATAAACGAAGGGTATGCAAAAAAATGTTTTTGTCAACTCTGGGCCTTAAAGATTGGTTTGTTATGAATTGCAAACAATAAGATAATTCTGCTATTACAGAAAATTTGTATAATGAACCACAACAAGCGCCTCAAGGACTTCACAAGAAGGAGCTGAACAATCTTTATAATTTTTTAGATAGCCTGCAGAAAATGGAATCGCATTATTGCAGGCAATCAACTAGTAAATTATATCTAGAACCATTATGGCAAAGCAAATGTCAACTTCACCATGTTTACAAAAACGAATGGTACCTAAAAAAACGAATTAACAGTCTATCTTTTTTTCTTTTTGAAAAACGCTTTTCTGGAAAAGAGCTTGACTTTGTATAGACCCAAAAAAGATTTGTGTGAAATATGTGTCTCTTTTAAAACAGGAAATCTTGACCAAGAAACATTTAGGGAACATCAGTTGAAAAAGCAAGAGGCAAGAGTTGAGAAAATTAAAGATAAAAACAGTGAAAGCATTGTATTGACAATAGATTTACAGACAATCCTTGTATGTCCTAAGACCAATGTTTCTTCCCTATATTATATAAAAAAGTTGACAATCCACAATTTCGAATTCTATAACTTACACACAAAACAAGGACATTGTTTTCTTTGGGATGAGTCGGAGGGGAATCTTACCAGTGCCGAATTTGCTAGTGTGATCGTAAGTATTTTAGAAAAATATACTGAAGGGAGTTGTCTTGAGGAAAACGTACGTGAAATAATTCTGTTTAGCAATGGATGTACTTATCAAAATCGTAATGTTACTCTAGCTAATGAAATTTTAAACTTCTGTTTAAAGCAGAAGGTAACAGTTATATAAAAATACCTTGAGAAAAGGCACACCCAAATGGAGGGTACGCACACCCCGACATGGTGCACAGTGCAATTGAGAGGATGCGATATTAATGTGCCCGGTGATTGCACACAAATATGCAAAAGCAAAATCCGTTTGTAGTAACTCGACTATACCATGATTTTTTTAAGGACTTCAGAGCAGTAAACTATGTAGAAGAATCCGACCGGGTAAAAAAAGGGTGCAGTTGTGACCAATATTAGAGCTACAAAATATTCACCACAAGGTATTCATTACAAGTTGGGATTTGGTGAAAGCTGGATTGAACTGCCTTGTTGAATAAATCAGAATATGATACCCAAGAATTTCGCAGATCTGCCGAAGCTTTACACAAATAGAATACCATTAAAAAAAGACAAATTCGAACATTTGCAGTATTTAAAAAATACCCTTGATTTCGATTACCACTCATTTTATGAGAATCTCCCTCACTAACATTTGTATTTTAAGTCCTATCACATCACTGTTGTACAACACTTGTTTTTGTACATATGTATGCGATATTATTTTAAATTAAAATTTTATTTATTGTTGTTGAAAAGTGAGGCTATTTTTCATTTCTAACGTACTTAAATAACACTAAATTTTATGTTAAACCTTTTACAAAAATATTGGTCTGTATTTCATTATTAGGATATTTTTTATGTGTGTCAGATAATATGTTTTTATAAATCGATAACCAAGGCTTTTTATTAATTTTTTACAATCCAGCGTTACAAAGAATGCCACGTAACTCCATAGGCACGTCTCATTATAAAAGAAGAAAAACCTGTAATTCCAAATTTTCTGTATTTTTAGCTATATCCGCTAGTTTTTGAAATTAAAATTGATATAATTCAGCTTAATATGACTTAAAAACTCAAAATATAGTTGTTTAATCGTTCTTCTTTATCAAATAAAAGATAACCGTGAAAATGTTACTGTTTTTAGGCTCTCTTGAAAAATTAAGGAAAATGGAGTTACGAGTTTTTCTTGTGTTGACGACGATAATAAACAGTTGGTAGTTAAATTAAATACAATTAGTTTACCTAAATAATGTGTCTGAAAATGTTTCGTTTTTCCTGGAGTTGCTGACACTGACACCTTTTTTTCGCTTAATAGAGAATTAATTGTAGAACTTTTTCCAACGTTTGGATATCCTACTAATCCGATTGTAGTGGTATTGGCAGTGACCTAGAAACATGTATATAATATTCACTATTAACAATGATAAAAAATAGTACATCTAAAAAGTTTGTTAAATATTCTTCTATTATCCTACTATTTTCTCTTTTGGTTTGTTATTAACATCATTGTTTGAAAGTATCAGAAAAATATGAAGAATTTAAACAAATCTATACTGATTATTTTAAAGAATTATTAATAAAACAAGACCCAAATAAAAAATTAGAAGAAGAGATAATGACGATAGGAAACCAGATAAAAACCAACGAAAGAAGAAGTTGAGGAAATTATAAATATTAACCAAGGTACCGACTACATTAATATGGAGCTTATAAAATATGATCGAGATGAATTAAGAAAAAAACTATAAAGTTTAATAAAAGGCATATTTAAGGGACAATGAAAAAATGCCGAAAGAATGGTACACGGACAAATAATCACGATTCATAAAAAAGGAGACCAACAAATGTGTAATAATTACAAAGATGTGACACTAATACAACGAAGGCTGACCGAAGCGACGACGAACATCCTCAGGACAGTAATTCTGATCCACTAAGAGCGAATCAACAACAGATGCAGGGACGGACAGGGGCAGGAGCGGCTAAGATACTGATCTTCTAAACTAGGGGGCACAAGTTCGATTCTCGACACCAACAACGGCATTTTCATTTCTAAAAATGATAATGATAACGAGATTAAACAATTCGAAAGGATCTCCTTGGAAAATATGCCATACGATATTAATGTTATTAACAAAAGATGCAACAGATAAACCAACCCAAGTAGGAAACACAGAGAAATTTGTTATAAGTAAAAGGGTTAGACAAGGAGACTCGTTATCAGCAACCATGTAATCTTGCCCTGGAATATATAGTCGGAAAATGAACCAAGATACACTGCTGACGATATTTGCTAAGAACAAAGAATAGAAAAAAAAAACGGGTGTGGCAGTCCAGTGGGACTGCCGGTAGAATTTACACTTCTATACACGCGTTCGCCGTTAAAAATTTATATGGGAGTCAATCTGCACAATCATTACATATGTAATGCTATAGGTAAGAGAGAGCAGAAAGAGAAAAAGAATTAGTTGTATAGGTATATGGTGCATCGTTTGCTGTATATAAACATTTGACCTGTAATAGGAGTATAGTAAATGAAGGATTGTATCAATATTTTAATAAAAATATATAATTGTTTTTTTATATATGTATAAAAGGACTTGAATGCAAAAAAATTTACACATACTCTGCAGTAAAATTATTTGTTTATTTTGTTATTAATATAAAAATTACAATACAATAAATACACTGCAACATAATTCAATATAATAATACAATATAAATTAAAATGCAATATTCATAAGTATTTAAAACTGCCAATATACATAACTTACTTTACGAAGATAAAAATAAAAAACCAACAAATTCGTAATTGGGATTCGAACTCACAACCACCAGCGTATGAACCAAACACGTAAAGGATTTGCTAATTAGACATGACCCTAACGGATTTCAAAATTGACAGTTCTCGGTCAAACAGTGATTATTTTGAAATACAAAAAATATATAAACGTTTATTAAATAATAATCATCGAGCAAAAAGACAAAAGAGGGAATGTAAAGGTAGTGGGGGCAAAAATATTGTTAGACAGGAAGTGCGATCTTTAGAGGCCACATTAAACAAGGAAAGAGAGTCTCTCGCCTCCTTTGACATAAAATTTTAGTTGGGTTATGTTATTGTTTGTCCCAAATGTCATATGAAATTTTATTTATATTAAAGTTTTTTAACAGTTGTGTCGCATTTTAGACTATTACCGTTAATAATTAATTAAAACTTTCTCGTCTAAGATACATTCTGAAAAATATTATATAGCTACTGTTAATATGTATGTTTTTATCTATTTTTTTTTATTGCCTGGAGCAATTGCGTTAAATCAGAATTATGCAGTTGATTTGTAAAATGCGATTATCTCGAAAACTGTTGAGTTTTGTCGTTATTAACAAGTATACCTTTTTTTGTTAAAATAATGTATCTTTAATATTTTTTATTAAAAATACCGGTAACTTGACGAACAAAAAAGTTAAGTGCAAATGTATGCCACGTATGTAGCATACGTGGCGCCCTCTATTAGCTATATCAAAGTATGTATCAAATTATAATTTCTGACATTGAATAGTACCCAGTTGTAAATTTTTATACATAAATGTTTCCAAAAATGAAAGTTATAGCGAAAAATAAAATTTTAAGTTTCCACTTTAAAAACCTTGTATCTTTTTTAATATCAACATTTTATTAAAGCAAGTAGGCTTAAATCGTAATATTTTAAAGTGTAGAATCTTCGATTTCTGTTTGTACAATTACTTAAGGACCACCCTGTATATGAAAACGCAACTATGCTAGCCCCATTAAGAGAGGAGTTAAACAAGGCGACGAAACATCTCCAAAGCTTTTCACTAGCACTTTAGCACTAGAAGACGTCTTCAAACTACAAATTGGTCAACATATGACATCAAAGTTAATGGAAACAAGTTAAACCACCTCAGATTCGCTGACGACATAGTGATTAATGCTAGAACATACGAGGAATTACAAATGATGACACCAGAACTCAAAGCATTGATTTCTTCCTTTAATGATGATATTATTACTCATATTACAACAAAACAGTGCAGCCCAGGAGGCTGAGGCGAATAATCATTCAGTAGCACTTAAAAATCACTCGGATCAAGTTTCATCGAAGGTGGATGGTTTCAATATGGCTATACAGAAAGTCCAACAAGAGATTGTGCTGAATAAACAAACCATATTGACGAGTAAAATTGATAATGAAACCACTCAAAATCAGAGTGACATACCTTCTACTGCATCAGTCATAAGTTCTGCTGTGCCGAGTGCTACGCCGTCTCTATTGAGTAATTCCAGGCCCAGTGAAGCTACCCACCTGAAAATGCTCTCAGAAAATCTTCATATGCACTAGTTTGCGTGACTGTCGCCTGCTCAGACCAATTAAAAGGTGTACCCAGAGCAAATCATATTAAACACTCCTGGTTTTACCTAGATAGGATGCAAAACTCTGTTGGTGAGTCCGTTGTAAAAGATTACATAAAGAAAGCTGCCAATATTGGTAATGAAAAATATATTTATGTTATAACTGTTAAAATCTAATGAAGAGTTTCAATTCCTACTGAGTACGAGACAATAGTGAATAGTAGTGATTTTTGTCCCCCAGATGTCCTTTTCGCGAAGTTTGTGTTTAACTACCATAGAAACGTTGATGATACAGAAAACCAGTCCTTAGCCAACACATCAACTCATCAAACAGTTATCCTGTCAAAAAACTGAGAAGTAGCCTAAAATGAGGGAGGCCTATGTCCAGCAGTGGACGGAAAGGGCTGGGTGATGATGAGCCTAAAATGTTACTTTCATAATGTTGGCGGACTTCGAACTAAACTCTCTCAGTTAAGAGACTCTTTGCTACTGAATGATTATGATGTTGTTATTTTTATTGAATCGTGGCTATCTGAAAAGTTTCTGGTTAGTGAGACTGATTTATTAAACTATAATTTTTATAGACAGGACCGCTATCAGCATGGATTGGGCATTGTGGGCGGAGGAGTGTAGAAAAACCTATCCTCTAAACTAATATGTAAGTCAAGTTTGTTTAACATAGAACAACTTTTTGTGGAAGTTAAACTGAATAATGATCAGCTTATAATAGGAGAAATCTATACTTCATCTAATTTACATACCGATGCACGTCATTATATACGTCAGAGATCGAAGTTGACATATTTGTCAAAGTATAAAAAAATCCTGACTCCATTTTAAATCAAATAGATCACATAATTGTTGCAAAAGTGTTACCATCTCTTTACAACGACTATTTAAATTCTTAGGTGACATTTTTTAAATAAAACACACTAATTTTGTTCTAAAAAGAACAGATTTTATTAAATAGGTAAAAATATAAAACAAGAGGTATTCACTTTAAAATTCAAAATAATAAAGTACAAAAAGTGTCAACACCGCAACAATCAAATAAGTGTTACCAATTTATGCCAATATTTCACCTTCGTTCGATTACAGTTACAGTGTGTTTTGAACAAATGTTCTTCATAAAAACGCTTTATAATGCATTTATACAAATTAAATGAAACATATCATTGTGTATTTCTTTAAGTTAACATTAATAGAAATTTTTAAATATTATTTCTACGCGTATATAATAAAATATGTCTAGTACATACCAATGTCACTCCGATGACGTGCATCGGTATATAAATTAGATGAAGTGTACATACCACCTAGTTCATTAGCTGAGGCATATGAATATCACTGCACCTTTCTTGAGGAACTGATAAGTCAACATCCACACAGTTCTGTGATTTTGGCTGGCGATTACAACATGAAAGATGCTCAATGGGCTAATGATCAAAACGGGGTTTATTTATCTACCTTACTTCCTGATGGCTCTCATGCGAATACTGTAGCATTTTAAATTTGATTGATTCTTTGAAGTATATTTAAAGTCGCCTCGTATATGAAATCGTCTTAATAAAACGAAGAATGTTTTCTGTTTTTTAGTTCGTATCTTTCGAAAAGTGTTTTTAATCATTCTAACGTCGTAGAGTAATAAATCCATTTAATTGTTGTTTATTTTACTGCGGCGATTTCTTTTCATGTAAATGCGTTTCAAAGGATATCTACGTCGTTCGTTGGTTTTGCTATTTCAGCAGTTCGTTGATTTTCAAGTTAAGCGAACAAATTTATAATTTCGTCACTCTCGGTGGAATCGCTGCCAAAGTCAGTCGGTTTCATTGTTTAGTCCGGATTTTCTTTTAATTCGTTATTGCATTTTTGTTATGGAAAAATGTGTAAATAGTAGCAGTGTGGAGTAAACCGAGACAAAGAAAACAGTCAAGTTTTGGAATTGAGATTCGGAATAGCTTGCGGGTGTAGTCTTCCAAGCCGGATTTTTTTTTTCAATTTGAAAAGTGAATTTTTAC